GCATATGTTTTACACAGCGGATGCCCTTCCAGCTATAACCCAGTACTAGGAAACACCCATTCGCTCTCATTCACATACATACTCATACACTACGGCCAATTTAGTTCATTAATACCCCCATAGCACCCGGAGGAAACCAGCACCAACATGGGGAGAACATGCAAACTCCGCACAGAAACACCTTGCTGCTGGAAGAGCATCAGCTGCGTAACGCCCTATTCACACGGGGCGTCAGCGTCCACGCTTCCCATTCACTTTGAATGGGTGACGTCAGGCGTTGCCGAACTGCATTGTGGATCCGTCTGCGCCGCTTCAGAAGCGTTCCTCGCTGCAGAAGTTGGGACCAGCTCAACTTTTCAAGCGCCGACGGAAGCGTCAGCCAATCAGATCGCTGTATGCAAATACACCAGCTCAGACAGTGGCCTATTGCTGACTGAATTTCATTGGCTGACGCTTCTATGACGATCGTTTCAGCTCCAACTTTAGACACGCCCTCTGTCAAGCGTTCACACTGAAGCCCCGTGTGAATAGGGCGTTATACATATGCCACACAGAAATGCCAGCTGGAACTCAAACCAGTGACCTTCTTGCTGTGAGGCGACAGTGCTAACCAATGAGCCACCATGTCGCTGATACTTGGATAATGTTGTCACTTTTTTTTTTGTAATGATCACTTGTAATTGATTTTGTTAGGAAATATGGATCAAAGAATGCAGGTTGGCATGGAAAGAAGAGTGATAGATAGTATTGATAAAGATAGCGATAGTGCATGGAAGATGAAGAGTGTTGACCTCACATTAGAGAAAAGGCCACAGTTTTCTTTGACCACGCTGTAAACCAGGGGTCCCCAACCCTGTTCCTGGAGAGCTACCTTCCTGCACATTTCAGTTGCAACCCTGACCAAACACACCTGTTTGTAATTATCAAGTGCTGCTTTGGGTACTCTGTGCCTGATCAGGGTTGGGACTGAATTCTGCAGGAAGGTAGCTCTCCAGGAACAGGGTTGGGGACCCCTGCTGTAAACCATGTGCTGTCGTTAGCTATGTTTCCATCCAAAAATGTGAATTCAAGAGTTCACACTTACCTTATGATGGATTATAAAGCTTGTTTGGCATGCTGTCCTGGGAGAGAGCCCAGAAAGTGTGTTGGTTTATGAGAATATGGTGCTCACTTGGCAAAATCTGTAAATTATTATTATTTTTTTATGTGTGTGTGTGTGTGTGTGTGTGTGCGTGCGTGAGAAACTGATCCTCCTTTACAGCTGCAGAGTTTATAAGTGAATGCCACAGTGATTTTTTTGCATGTGTGTGTGTGCGTGTGTGTGTGTAATAGAAAACTGATCCTTTCACAGCTGCAAGTTTTACAGTGAATGCCCTTGTGAAATGACTTTGCTTGTGTCTGTGTGGAGGAGGGGGGGGGTGTAAGAGGAAACTGATCCTCTTTCAAAAGTGTTACATTATTACAAATGTATTACCAATGTTCACATTACATTGATGTTTAGATTAAACAGATCATATGAAAACAAAACACATAGCAGCGATTTAAAACACAATAATTCACAGCGTATTCAACAATTAACATTTGATCATTTATTAATAACAAATAGTAATTCTCGCTGTGTGTGTGTGTGTGTGTGTGTGTGTGTGTGTGTGTGTGTGTGTGTGTGTGTGTGTGTGTGTGTGTGTGTTTGTGTGTGTGTGTGTGTAAGCCAAGGCTCCTTCACAGATCCAAAGTATAAAAAAAGAACTTGATCTGCATGCGTTGCGTTTTTGTGTGTGTGCGTGCCGTGCATCTGTGTGTGTGTGTGTGTGTGTGTGTGATCTTTGCTTTGATCCCTCTTCAGAGAAAGTGCAGATGACAAGCATAGAGACAGATTAGAAAAGTAAATACAAATGCAGGCGAGGCAGTGGTGCAGTAGGTAGTGCT